ATTCCTTGTGAGACCACTGCCTGCCTGTTACTTTTGATTTCCTGAATCCTGAAAGATGGTAACATAACGAATGTAGAATATTAGTCTGAATTTCACAGGTGATTTACACGCAAGAAATAGATGAGTGATTAATCTTCTTCCTAGAACAAGATGAGGAATGAACTAACACTTCATGGTACTTTACGCTTCTGTCTTTTATTAAGATACTCTCTTTTACTAATAAAAAATGTACCATCACCTCTAATACTACTTAAGTACTTGCCTGCAACAGCTTCACTGCTTTAAATTTCAACTGGAAATCTTATAGGAGCAACTGTATTTTATTTTTAGAATACACTATTAAAAATTACCTTTAAAAAATTATCTTTATAAAAATCACCTAAAACTGGGTAGGATAGCTGCTTAGCAAAACATGAGTTTCAACACAAAAAATGGCTCTTCTGCTGCATGAAACTGTCTGAAAAGGGAATCAGATAGAAAATTTCTAATTCTGATCTTTTCACATTTTGGTATAAACATAAAGCTTTTTTTAAAACATGCATGCAGGAAGTGATTTATGAAAAAAACTAATGTTTCTTTTAAGTACTGTGCATTGCCTATTTCTTCACGGTAAGCATGAAGAAAGCAAACTCAATGAAACGGGAAGCATTCAGTTGCTATAGGGGTTGACATTTGTTAAAGGCATAGCTCTCTCTGTAATGAACACAGCAACCCTGCCGATTCCGGGAATGCCAGAAAAGAGAGAAGATATTAGTAAGTGAGATAAAACATGCAATTCATGTTCTTTGTGACATTAAAAATGCCTCCCACGTGCCAGTAATTCTTTGGGACCGCTTTAGAGTTGGTACTAAAAGCCAGTCAAATAGCCAGAATATTCCTATGTGCTCACTTTTAAAATCAGTTGCATAATATTATGAAATGAATGCTTACAAATAAAGACACCCATACTGACCTAGACAAACATTAAATGATTAAAGTGCGCGTGTGCTTATGGAAGTGATTTTTATGAGAATCTAGAAATTGGGCAAAATTCCCCCGGTTGTCTCCCTTGTTTGGGCAGAGGCTGGTAAGCCCAGCTTCCCTATAGCAGGCAGCGTGACAAAACATTAATATGCAGCACCAGAGGGTGGCTCAACATAAGACTTTCATAAATAATTTGAAGAACGTACAGCGGGGAGCCCAGAACTCCTAGCGAGATGATTGCTGATAGCCTGTTATGCGCTCCCAACTTCGGCAAAGATCACTGCGAGCTTTCCTTTTCTTTTAAATAACAGAAGCGCCACAGAAGAATGAAAAAAGATTTCCTGCATTCATTGTAGCTAAGAAAAAAAAAGTTATAAAAAACTGAACACACTGGGCTGTAATTTTTTTTTTTTTTTAATGAGAAGTTTATGTAACAGTAGGGAGCATTAGATGACAGCAAGTCACTAACACCCTGCCTCTAAATTAGCGGCTGTGTCAGGAGGGCAGTTCTTTATTGTCAGCTGCTGCCAAATGCAACTCCTAGCAACTGCTAGGTCACAGCTCAGAATGCCAATAATGTGGCAGCTTTTCATATGTCAGTGCACCAGATGGGGTTATTTTGTCACAAAGGTTATTGTTCACTCAGTATAAAAATAATCCAAAAAAAAAAAAAAGCAGAACTGTGATTCAGCCACCTACTGAGTTCACTCAGAAGAGCCCCCAACTTATAAGATGGGTCACCAAATACGTGTAAAAGAGTGACAAAACTTTAAGGCACATCAAGAGAAAATACAGTGCAAAAAGCAGAGGGATTAAGAGTAGCAAGAACTGCTTAATTGCGTTTAAAAGCAAAATCCCCCAGTCAATCAACCTATCAATGGGTCACCAATTCAGTGCTTTCAGAAAAAAGCAATTCAAGAGTCCCTATAAAAAGAAAACTACCAAGTTCATTTAATTTAAGTGCAATAAATAATTAATATCCAATGCAAGTCTCAAGCTAGTAGGTACACAATCAAGTTAATATTTAAGAATCACAACACTGAATGCAGCACACGGACTAGCACCGCAAAGAGGGTGGAGTTCTGGTGAAGTATACCAACACAAAACTGGCTACTGAGCTATGAAAAAGTGCCACAGAGTCTCTAACATTTGTGCACAAAAGACTGTACACCCACTTTTAAGATCCCAGATGGAAGATCCCACCTAAAAATAAGTTCCCAACTGGAATTAAGTACATTTACCTACAGGACTGAATCATTCCCTCCATAGCTGCAATTCAAAAAATTAAATAATCTGACTGAACCACTGGCCAACGCCATCTGGAAGTATTCTGTCTTGCCTCTTTCACGGTATTGGCTGGGAAAAAATCCCAGTATTATTTACAAAATTTTATTGGGAAAACTGTAGTAAACGTACACATACTCTGGGGCCTTTATTTGACACAAAAGCCATGAGAAAACCCTCAAAGCAACTACACAAAAATAAATGCAACTTGCAACATACTAATGGTGTCCCATCAAATGACTCTCTCTTGCAACAGTCAGTAAGTGTGCTGCACCCGCAGCTTTCCTTATTGAAGCCAGAACGGTTGAGTTGCCCGTCTAAGGTATTTATTACGCGATGCCAACCAGTCTAAGTGCCATGTCTACATTTAGCAGCACAAATGTGTAGCCTGCAATCACAGCTTTCTTTGGGAAGAAAAAGAGCTCAGAAAAAAATGAAGGAATCCCGCTGAAGGAGTTCAACACCTACAGAGTAATTCCTTTGAAAAAGTTTCAGGCAAAGGCTCACACCAAACAGCCAACCATTTATCAATTATTTTTACCGCTGTTCCTAAGCATCCTTCACATTTAATTTACCTCCAATTCTGAATCTCAAGGCAGTGGCATCATATTTGGCATCTCTTGGGAACTGTATTTTCTAAGAGAGATTTTTGTCAATATAACTTTCAGAAACAATGCTGTACTGGGAAATTGGAAATTTTTGCATAGCAACACACACACAAAGACTTGTGATCAACATTTTTGTCCCTAGAAGAATGATGAACCTGCTGAATTACCAGAAAATAAGTACATGTTATTCGTCAAATTGTGCGCATTATGCCAGAAAGTTTAAGCCATATTTAAGAACCTTGCTGCAAAATGGCCTAGAATAATGCAAATACTAAACTGTATCACTTGGGACGATTTTCAAATTAGTTCTCTCTCATGGTACAATTACTTTTTGAGCCTGCATCACCATCTTTGAATTGCTTCCCTACTTAATGAAAGGAGCATTCTCTTAATGACAGTACCTTGGACAAATTTACCCCTCCTACGTCAAGAGGAAGCAATTTGAAAAGTTAGCTACAATTAAGTATCACTTGAGATCTATTCTGATCCTTTGTAACTGCACATTACCAAACCTGTCCCTTTCAGCGCGTTTCACATGGTTTGACAGGAGAACACGGAGACATTCTGCTTTAGAGAGAACAAAACCATGAAAGAACGCAGATGGCAGGGACAGGAAGGAAGTCTGGTGGGTCTGTAAGCTGTGAAAACTCAGCCTAACGGTATGACTTCCTTTAGGGTGACTACAAGAAACACCAAACAGGCAATGATAACAGCATCATACCCTGTTCTTGTTTCACTGTGGACACTGTGAAATCAGCTTCTTACAGTACCAGGTTTAAAGATGTATTAAGTGGTGCCTTTAAGTTCCTTTCACTGAAGAAGCAGTGTTGGTCACCTGGGACAACACACTAACCCATCCCCTCTCCTGAACTGAAAGCTTTTGATAACTTGAGTGTGTTTTATGGCCCTCTCCTACTGTGTTTCCTAAACTATATCATGGTTGTTTTTTAATTACCACAGAATATTTTTAACATTTCTTCAAAGTTCTGAACCATTTGAAATTGGGACTCCCTTTGAGAATTCTCATTTGTTTCGCAGACTTAGCTCTACCTGTAAAAAACATGATCGAAGATTTCTCTTATTCCTTCCCTTATTTCAACTCTGTCCATCCTAATTGCTGCCCTGTGGTCCCCCTTTGAGTAAACATACTCTAATCTGATTGGCACAGAACCTTTCCGCCTATTTACGTTCCACTGAAAGGAAAAATCAACAATAAAGTTCGTTACCGACTTGCAGACACTTCAGATACCAGATAAACTATTCATCAGTTAATCCCAGTTACAATAAAAAGCATGTACAGAACAAATAAAACATGTTGTGTAAATACACATTCTTAAGTGGATCCTAAGTGATAAAACTCCCCTCTCTGGTCCTGCACACGGAAGTTCCATCGGAGGCAAACAACATATTACATGTCTATTGAGAGGGACAAAATAGTCCTTCAACCTGAAAAAAGGATTTTCTGAAAGGCATGCACTGCAACTTCAGACTTGGAATGGGCGGGAGGGAGGAGCGTGTGTGTTTGCACGTGTGCGTGCACAACCAAAGCTTTCTCACAAATCCTGAGAGAAACACCAGGAAACGAACTGCCACCCTCTTTCCTTCCTCTCTCTCTCTCTCTCTCTCTCCCTCTCCTCCCTACCTTGGTAACTACTGTGTTACTTTAGCCTTGCAGAATGTGATGATTTATTTTTAATTTTATTATATGTTGGGAGTAATACCTGGGACTGAATCCAAGTTGCCTTTGTGTATTAAATACTGTGAAATGCAGGAAATTACTCCTTACCTGATGGAAGATTTTAGGGTATTTCTTGTGCTCTGAACAGGATGGCTAACTCTGAGAGCATTTAGCTATCCTACTGTGCTGCCTGCTACAAGAAAAAATGACTTCATAGAGATTTGCTAGTTAACAGTCTCAAGTTTTTTTATTATTATTACAGTTTTCATTCTTGTATTGATAAAGAATGCCAATTAATACGGTGGTTCCTGATTGAAGGAGATATTGAACGAAATCCTAACACTGCTGAAGACAAATGCTCTGCCATGGGTCTCAATGCACAAGATAGGGACCAATGTACATAAACCCATTGCCCAAGTTATTTACTTCAAAAAACTTGCAAAATTCCAAAACGAGTTGTTATTTACCTGTTACTTCCAGTCTGTCCCCAGTGACTTCAGCTTTCAGATAAATCCTTCCTCTTTTCTCTGTGTGATCCATTCCACAGAGGCTTGGGACATTTATTACGCATTGTTTATGAACGTTCATATCACAAGCTGTGGATATAAAAATGGTTCAGAAAACCATGAGAAACCAACAATATGCTTACACTGCAAACACTGAGCAACGGGAAAGTTAGGCTTACAATGCATACATAACTGTTGGCAAGACTTTACGTTACTAGATTTTTTAGCAGGAGACTTCCAAGACAAATGAAACGCAAGTGAAATATTGGACTTTGGCTACCAACTGAACTGCAATTTCAGGCTTCAACAGTGCATTCATCTGTCCACTCCAAAACCAGCCTTCCTCAAAACTGACACGGCAACTGCACACATCGAACTCCAGACACCTCCTTTGCAGTAACAGAAGCGATGGGCGTTAGCAATGATTGCCTTTGCGCTAGTACTGAAACACCTATTTGAAATACACAGTACTATAATTAACTGCCATTTGAAATGGTCTTTTCCACAGCAAAGAAATAAGAAGTTCTACCCTGTATTTCCACCTAGTTTCTAAAACACCGTTTGGTAACACAGAAAAACTTACTTACTGTCACATTTCATCCCTTGATGTATGAGCCCATAAAGCAGTGACCCACAGTGGTCACAAAAGGTTGGGCTGCCATATGTGTGGATCTTAAACTTGTGCTTGCTTCTGGGATCCTAAAGAAGAAGCAGAGAGAGATTCTCAAGCCACAGTAAATACAACTGGCATACCTTTAACGTATTACTGTAAATACTGAACACTTTATAACTCTGCATCCTGTGCTACCGAAAAACACCTTGCAGCATGTAGCGCACTGACAAAGCGGAGCGGAAGGGAACAGCCTGGCCCCCTCTTCCCCACCCGCCCAACAGCACCTACCGCGGTCCAGCTTTATCGGCCGCGCTTGCAGGCTTTTGCTCCTATTTACCTTCGCTTTGGCTTTGGCAGAAAGAATATGTCAGTTCAGTGAACGCAGGCTTGTTTCTGCCGTTCACCTACGTTACAACTTCAATTTATCGGCTGTACCTAAACAGAAGGTGTAGTGATAGGATTCATCCTGTGCATAAAGTGTCCTTACTGTCTGTTCATTTATAAACTGTGCCTAACGGCAGCTTGTTGTCAAACAATAAAAAATGTCTCTAGTATAAGTGCTTTATCAGTAAATCACAAAATTCAGGAACTCTTAATAGTAATTTGGATGGAAATACGACTATGAGAAGACAAAAACTTACCTTCAAAACTTAATATTTTAGCATATTATATTTTGTGAGAGCTTTTTCTGAAATTTTAATGAATTTTTCTGTTTTGATTGCAAGTTTTATCATGAATCTGTAACCAGTAGTTTTCACGGCACCGATAAAATTACATGACTAACATGTTTTCCAAGGTAACCAGTAAAGATTTTCGGTCAGGAATTCCAAGGAACGCTGTATTTCAGCGGTTCTGTTTATTATACAGCCCGAGACATGAAATTCAAACTGCTCAACAACCATATTTATTTTGTAAACACAGTTAACCTACATGGAAGGACGTTCAAACCGCGCCGGAGAACATCTGCTTCGTTATTCATTAAAGATGCAGCCAACGGCTCTTCTGGTGCCGGGTCATGGGAACGCTGCCTTTCTCAAAGGTTATCTGATAGACATGGGCTGACTATGCCCTCCAAACAACTTAAAATATGTTTTCAAAGCTAACTGTTCATTAATTTCTTTTTGTTTGGAAGATGTAAGGGAACTTGCTGCCTTATAAATACATACACTTAAACATTATTTTCCTAAGTACATCTGCTGCTAAGAAGGAGAAAATCCACAGCTTCTGAGAATGACACTGAATAAACAGACTTCTGAAGTTGCATTTAACATCTGACATAAGTGATATTTATAACTATAAAGTAATGATATAGAGGGGAAAGAACTACAGGAAATTATTGTAGTGAATGTCTAATAGAATACATTGAGCCTGTCTATTATACTGAAATTATATAACAAACACGACCAAATAATTCCATTCCAATCAATATACATGGTAATTAAGTTAAGCAGGGGTGTGCGCTGGCTTAAAAATGTTTTGACATTTAAGGACAACTATTCCACACTTACTACGAAGCAGCACTACATGAGCAGAGGCCTACTCCTGCGCCTGACTGTGTGCGTCTACAGAATAATTGGAAAAGACTTTTTATGAAGCAATGAAATACAAACAAGCACATAAATAAACAAGTCAAGTTGGATCAAACTTTGAACTTGGCCCTGCAGGGGTCAACATATATAACTTGAATCATCATTCACGTCTAAAAATAAACCACATTTTCCATCAACATGTGAGAATGCCCATTGTATTATGTCTAAAATGAATAACTCAATATGAATTAGATCATTTCAAAGAACAGTAAGCATATTCTTACTATTATTATTTATTATTCTAAATGCACACAAGAAATTAGTTCTTGCTGGCACTGCATAAAAAAGTACTCTTACAAAGAAAAACAGTATCAAAACTCCT